TCCACCAGCGACGTGGCCCCCGTGATCCCCGCCACCAGCTCCCGCAGCCAGTCGCCAGGAGTCACCGTTTCTGTGGGCGTTGTTGCTGGAACCTGTGTGGAGATCACTCGCTCGCCATTATTCTCATTATCGTCTATCTGTATCGGGACCGCGTCGATTGCACCCCTAGTTGGTCCGCTCTCTAGGGGGCGTTGGAGTTTAACCCCCGTGTCTGTCTAGCTCGGGTGATTTCCGGACAATCCCTCACTAGATGCCCTCGGCGATCGCACATATAACATGCCCGGGGAGGGGGGGCGGCTCCGTAGCGGGTCCCCTGTCCGCTCCCTCTCCCAGTACGCAGTTGTCCCAAATCGGACTCTAATTGGGACACCCTCCCGGCTAGTCCCCCTACTGTCGAGCGTAGTTCACCCATCTCAGACTGGAGGGTCTTCATATTTTTATTTGCGTCCTCGCGTACCTGGTTTACCTTGTCGTCTATCTGGGTTACCTGGCCGGAGACATCCTTTATACCCGTTTGTATACCGGCAACCCATCCCGGGGTTGTCTCGCGGGACACTGGAGGCTCTCTTTCCCGGCCCCTTACCCTCCTCGCGAGCTCCTGTTCCTCCTCCTCATCTTCCGAGAGCAGGCTCGCAATGGCGCGCTCTCGTCCCAGCCCCCGGAGCTGCGCGCGTTCGCTGTGAATTCTTTCACACTTACGTGCGCGCTCGACAAGGGCGTTAAAGGGAAGACGTGGGCAGCTCATGTCTGGCTGCCACCACGCCGTGCGAGACAGGTACCGCTGGATTTTCTCGGCGGCCAGTTCCTCAATAACATCAGTTGCGTACCCCGGGCGTGCGATCTTTGTTAACTCGCGCACATCCTCGGCGTAATCACGTAGATCTTCGCCAGGTTGGCGCCGGCGCGCCTCTAAGGCCGATTTTGCTTCCTCCTCGTCACGCGTGCCAAACCGCTGATCGAGTCGGCGCATCAGCTCCTCTAGCTGTGTCTGTGCGCTCGCGGGTAACGCTTCTACAAAATCGGCTGCCCGCCCATCAAGATTCATATTAAGTTGACGTACTGCCTGCGCGTCCGTCCACCCATTAATTTCCTTGGCCCCTAAGAGATTGCGAGCGAATGCCTTCCACGAAGGGGCCCCCCGGCCGGTAAATATTAGTCTTATTTTAGCGTGAGGTAACGCGGGGGTCCGTACCGCTTCCGACACCAATTTGTGGGGGTCGCTAGCCCCCGAGATCCCTCCCTCGATAATGCTAACGGCCGGGCTAGCATCATCAATCGCCCCCCCGCTGCTAAGCGAACCGCTGCTAAGTTCCTCACCCATGGTGTGGGAGCCGTCGCCCGAGGGTTCCACCCCACCGCGGGTCCGCGTAGCAGGCATGATTAATTACGTACGCGCACACCCACACACACAGCTCCGTACGGCACTCACTCTTGCGCTTCTCTGCGCCGCGCTGGCCGCTCACGTTACAATCGCGCACCTGGGGTACGCCGATTTCGCACGACGAGAGCTTACGCATACCCCGTACCACACGCGTTCACACTTATAACACGTAACGAGCACACGCCAGCGGGGCACACGCCGACACAACGACTAAAGTCGCCGCCGCCGTGCGCGCGAGATAAACCGTACAACAATGCGCAGCCGATTACGCTATGATCGCGCACCTGGGGGACGCCGATTACGCACGCTGCGAGCTTACGCACACACAGTACCACACGCGTTCCCACACGCTCACACTGCACGACAAGATCACGCGAGACCACGCTTCGCTATTAATGATTTATTACCTGATAACTAATGTTGAATTAGTGAGTCGACGAGGCTGGCCTATTCCACTAAACCGGCACCTATTCCCTATTTATCGGCTATGATTCTAAGTCACCTTCTTACTCACTGTTAAGTGTCCACGGCGGTCCGCTGATCCTTGTGTTAACCGCGTGCCTCGGTGCGTCGCACGGACGTCCGGGTCGCTGGCTCGAGCTGCGTCTGGTCGCCTGGCGCTGGAGTAAGAGAGCGATTTCCCCTCTGCGCTCCTCTATTTATCCTCCCTACCTCCAAAGGGGATGCTGCGCTGAACAATGGGCTCGTGCACCCCAAGCCCGCGCACGGCAGTCCCCAGGCGCTGTTGATATGCTAATCAGTGAGCGACGTTGGCGGCGTACATCCTAATTACTCCCTTACCCTTCCTAACAATGGGGCCTGCGCGCTCAAGCGCAATTATCCCAACCCCCCATGACTATGCGCAACAGCCCCTGTGACCCCGCTATTCATGCTGTCTCGTGCCTCCCCTGCTTGCCCCGTCGACTCGTGGGGGTGTGTGTGGGGGGAAATGCGCCTCAACCGCGGTGGCCGAATGCCCCACGCCGCGACCACACCATATTAAGGCCGGCAGCAGCACCGCGGTACCACGTAGCACGGGGGAGGTCATCCAATTCCCTGATCGCCGGAAACCGTGAGAATTAATCCCGATAAGGGTCTCTCGGATAAAAACCGGTCGATCAGGTAACCTTCCCTTCCAGCTCTATGGGGGGGGGGGGGGGGGTGCGTGCGGGTGTGTGCTTATGTGGGGCGGGTGATGGGGGGCAGTGCGGTGGGGGAAGCCGGGCGGCTCCCTGGCTCGGCAGAGCGGCCCCGTCGCTGTGGCACCACAGGTGGTGGTGGGTTAACGACACAATGTTGATGTTTACGAGATCTCTAACCCAACAACAACAAAAACCAAACCTGTGTCACGGAAAAGTGTCACCACAGAGCAAGTCGCTCCGACCTCCTGGAGATACCGGTGTAACAGGCTACAATAACCCATTGCCCCGATTAAACCCGGGTATAGTTTGGCCCAGGCCAGAGTATACCCGGGGGATGAAGTGTCCTAGGCTAAACTATACCCGGGGGTTTAAACTAGACTGGTCCAGACCATACCCCCTCCAGGGCAGAATATGCCCCATGTGAAAGTTCAAAGGCAATTATCCATACAGAGAACAGCCGACAACGAACTTCAATCGATATCTAAAAAGCGTATAAATGGAAGCATCTCAATTTGATCAATTGAAGCATTTTAGGGTTATTATTACAGTTTTTCTGGTTGAAGCAATCAAAGTCGATGTAAAATTTCGATTTAAAGCTTTCGTGACTGCAGGGATTCATCTTCTTGGTTCTTTCGGTAGAGTCACGTTGAAGGGAAATAATAAAACAATAAAATTCTCACGACGTTTCGATTGCAACACAAGCAATCATCATCAGGTGTGAAAACCACAGCAATATTTTTTTTGCTGTGGTTTTCATAACCTGATGATGATTGCTTGTGTTGCAATCGAAACGTCGTGTTAATTTTATTCTTACATTTTTATTATTTTATTATTTCCCTTCTACGTGACTTTACCGAAAGAACCAAGAATACAGTAGATTTTAGTTTTTCACTTCACTTTACTTTTCCAGGTAAGGCCCCCACAGAGCTGTGTAGTAGCGACCTGGCTATCACAAATGACAGCAGCGCACCGAAGTGGCTTATCACGTGACATTTACAGCAGCCAAATACTCTGAACGCATGTTGAGATGTTAACTACCTCTCCTGGTATACAGGAGATCGTGTGTTTGATTCCGACCCAGACGCCTGCTGTATATTTTGAGTTTGCGTGTATCTCTCTCTCCCCGTGGTCGTGTGGATTTTTCTCCAGGTCCTCCGGTTTTCCCCTCGACATTTAGAATCGAGATCACGCAATCAGAGTATTTGGCCGCTATAAATGTCCACACAATGATAAGCCACTTCGTTGAGCTTTCATTTGTGATGGCCAGGTGGTCGCGTCTGATAAAAGAGCTACTACGTATCCAGTTGGACCTTACTTGGTAGAATCCCAAGATAATGTTTGTTAGTTTAAGTATGTATATATATCATTTTAAACAGAATCACAAACTAACGCTCAACTTTCTTAAACGTGCAAGAGTCAACGCGCGCCACCACCGTGCGACATCACGCGAGCAACCGGGACGACGCAGAAAATCTCTCAACCCTTTCCCGCGTCCGAGACGTCTGCAGAGTTGCAGGGTCGGTGGGTGTCACCGTTCACAGGGTGGGTGTCACCGTTCACGGGGTGGGTGTCACAAGGGTGGCACAGTCGGGTTTTTTACAATCGGGTTTAATTGTCTTTTTATATTAAACCCGATCATCTAAGATTGAGAGAAATCCGGTTTCATTGGTTCTAATTGCAGAACCGCACTTCTCAACGATGGGCTTCATCCATTCCAAGCTAAGGAACTCACTGGCGCCCACGATTGTGGAGAAGCTCGTGTTCATTAAGACCAACCTGCCCGCTGCATTCTACGACTACCCCGTGCCCGACGGCCCCGAGTACCATAGCAGCACCGACGAGGAAGCAGCCTAAGCCTATCAGAGTTTCGTATTCATTAAACCAGGTTTTAATTCCCCGAAATCGGGTTTAATTGTGTTAAAGAAAAAACCCGATGCCTGCAGCTGGAAAAATCGGGTTTTTTCCACCCATGGGGTGTCACCGTTCACGGGGTGAGTGTCACCGTTCACGGGGTGGGGGTCACAGGTCACGGGGTGGCTGTCACCGTTCACCGCAGCAGTGGCAACAGCAGCACTGTTGCTGTTGTTGTTATAAAGACGTCGTTGCTCACCGCAGAGAAGCGTAGCGACACGACCGCCGCCACTCTGCGCTAGCCGGCGCCAAAACTGTGCCACACTCCCTGCCCCGCGTGGCCCTGTGGGAGCCTCGGTACCGATAAAGTTACTTTAGTTTTTACTGCGTTTTGTTGTTCCGACGACGACGTTCACGCACGGCACGCGGCGTCGTCGCAACAGCAAAGGGTGAAGTTCACGCTGGGAACATTTTCAACGGGGGAGGCAGCAACAACACGCAGGGTGATCCAAGTGCAGATGCCCCACTCATACCTACACCCCCCCTCCCAACGCCCTCTCGGAATATTTTTTCAGACCGCAGGAATCCGATGAGCTATGAAGCTCTTCTTCGCAGATCTCCAGCCGTTCCACAGATGTCCTCTCATAGCAACCCCCCCACCTCCACCCCGTAGCTTTCCTCTCAGCAGCAAAGTGAATAGCGCACAAGCGATGGCTCGGGGCTACGGTACTGAGTCAGAGGTCGCAAACGGGTTTTGATTCCTTACCCGTACCTGGCCGCACCAGCGTCGTAAACAGGTACCCGTACCCGGTATCGGGTACCTGATTGCGACCTCTGGGGTGAAGCCATGTTGCAGGCGCGGGTGGGTTGATTCTAGGAACTTGAATTGTGAGAAGAGACAAGACGTTGGGAAATGAGTGACAGTTACTCACCAGTGACCGTAGGGTACGGGTATCGGGTACCCGGTTGCGACCTCTGGACTGAGTGTTCGGAGATTTGTGAGCGGATGCCACCTTCGTCATCAGCCGCGGTTCAGTCTACCGCTGGATGGGTACGTACTGTACGTACTGTACGTACGTCGCACGGGGCAGGGCTACGAGACGGCACGCGGTGCGCATGGAGACCGGCGGGAGACGTGCAGACTGGGGTGTCTGTAGGTGGATCGCCCTGCGGTGCCCCCCTCTAGGGTAACAACAGTGCAGCTCTGCACGGGGGACTCTGCACACTCACACACACAGGGACCCCCAGGTGATGGGGGTGGGGGGGGGACGTGCAGTGGTTGGGACCTAGAACTCCGCACTTGCAATCTAGGGGTGGCCGGGTCGGTTTAATCTCCCACCCCCCACAGAGTGTGAGGCAGGTGTAGGAGGGTTCGTAGGTTTCCGTGTTCACATTCAAAATCAGTTTCAAGAGTGGCACAGCCTCGGCTAATCACGTGGCCTGTTGTTTAAAACTAATTCACAGCTCGGCGCTGTGCGCTTTTTGCTCAGGATGGCTGACTTTTCTGTTTCCACGGGAATGAGAAAATGCATTCTGGCCGGTGTGTGTTCTCTGGTGTCTGCAAAGAGTTGATGGGTCTGCAAACGCCTTCTCACACACGGTGCACTTGAACGGCTTCTCTCCCGTGTGTGTTCTCTGGTGGCTGTGAAGATGTGGTAGCTGTGCAAACGCATTCTCACACACGGTGCACTTGAACGGCTTCTCTCTCGTGTGTGTTCTCTGGTGGCTGTGAAGAGTTGATAGCCGTGCAAACGCCTTCTCACACACGGTGCACTTGAACGGCTTCTCTCCCGTGTGTGTTCTCTGGTGCCTGTGAAGAGTTGATGTGTCTGCAAATGCCTTCTTACACACGGTGCACTTGAACGGCTTCTCTCCCGTGTGTGTTCTCTGGTGCTTCTTCAAGGTACTCTTGTAGTCTGTGCTGTATGGACATTGGTCACACTGATGACTTTTGTTACTGGGCTTAGTGGGGTGTCTCCTCTGCACGTGATGTTGTAGACTAGAGCGGCAGATGAACTGACGGTTGCAGGCAGGACACGGCAGCCTTGTGACCTCCACACCCACTCCACCTGCGTCATCCCAGAGGAACAAGACACACGCGCACACACCAACATCTAGACATGAACACTCTTGCACACGTGTGTGTATACACAAAGGTAAAGGTTTCCCACAGCCATATCAGACTGTTGGGCAAGTGCTGTTTGCGAGTACCTATGAAGGCCGGCATGGCACACGAGGGAGTAGGTGGCCAACACTAGGCCCGACCGCCTTTGTCTCTCCAGTGGCGATGTTTCCACGTTTAAGCTAGGTACTCATTTGAGGCTGAGTCAACCTAGGGGAGGCCTAAATATTCACCACTGACGTTGGCCGTGAGTGGGAATCAAACTCAGGTGGCCAGGTTCGTAGTGCAGTGGGCTCCATTATATATACACACAAAGACAAAGAACCCCCATATAGCCTGTATATACTTTTGGGACAAGTGCTGTTATGGGCACCAATGAAAGCCAACACGGCACACGAGTGGGAGGGTGGCCAGCACCACACATAGCCGCCTTTGTCTCCCCAGTGGCGATGTTTACTACTACACACCACACCAGTTACTCACTTCCACCTTATCAGTGTGGCTGGTGCCTATCATCTCTGGTGAGTGGTGGCTGTCATCTCTGGTGAGTGGTGGCTATCATCTCTAGTGAGTGGTGGCTATCATCTCTGGTGAGTGGTAGCTACATCCACATCTCTGGTGAGATGTGGCTATCATCTCTGGTGAGTGGTAGCTATCATCTCTACTGAGTGGTGGCTATCGTCTCTGGTGAGTAGTGGCTATCGTCTCTCGTAAGTGGTGGCTGCCATCTCTGGTGAGTGGTGGCTATCATTTCTGGTGCGTGGTGGCTATCATCTCTGGTGAGTGGTGGCTATCATCTCTGGTGAGTGGTGGCTATCGTCTCTCGTGAGTGGTGGCTATCATCTCTGGTGAGTGGTGGCTATAGTCTGGTGAGCAGTGGTGAGTCTCTGGTGAGCGGTGCTCACGGTGTTCCTCGCTTGGTGGAGGCTGCACGGGCTGCAGGTCTCTGGCGGTGGCCCTGGGAGCCATCTCGTTGCTGCTGCTGCTGCGGCGTCGCGAGGGCCCGGCCTCGCAGGCGATGCCCAGCTCCTGGGCGAACTCCTCGCCGTACCAGACCAGCAGCTCAGAGCCGGGCCCCACGGCACGGAACGTGCGGTAGTAAATCTGCCCCCTGTGCTGGAAGGCCACCAGGTTCTGCTCCTGCTCATTCCTCGCGCAGTTGACGAACCTGCGCGGGCAGACGCGGGGGCGGGGTGGGCGCCGTTAGCGAGCGCCTATTAAGGGCCGGCACTGGGCGCTACGTGGGGGTGGTGTGGCTGGAACCACGCTCCGTACCGGGTGCTCATTTGATGCCGAGTCGACCAAGGGGAGGCCCAGGGTTGGTCTCTGTGTGTAGTGGGTCTGGTCTCTGTGTGTAGTGGTTCTTGTCTCTGTGTGTGGTGGTTCTGGTCTCTGTGTGTGGTGGTTCTGGTTTCTGTGTGTGGTGGTTCTGGTCTCTGTGTGTGGTGGTTCTGGTCTCTGTGTGTAGTGGTTCTGGTCTCTGTGTGTGCTGGTTCTTGTCTGTGTGTAGTGGTTCTGGTCTCTGTGTGTGCTGGTTCTGGTCTCTGTGTGTAGTGGTTCTGGTCTCTGTGTGTGGTGTTTCTGGTCTCTGTGTGTAGTGGTTCTGGTCTGTGTGTGCTGGTTCTTGTCTCTGTGTGTGGTGGTTCTGGTCTCTGGGTGTAGTGATTCTGGTTTCTGTGTGTAGTGGTTCTGGTCTCTGTGTGTAGTGGTTCTGGTCTCTGTGTGAAGTGGTTCTTGTCTCTGTGTGTAGTGGTTCTGGTCTCTGTGTGTAGTGGTTCTGGTCTCTGTGTGTAGTGGTTCTGGTCTCTGTGTGTAGTGGTTCTGGTCTCTGTGTGTAGTGGTTCTGGTCTCTGTGTGTGGTGGTTCTGGTCTCTGTGTGTAGTGGTTCTGATCTCTGTGTAGTGGTCCTTCAGACAATAATCACCTCATCCAGTTTGATTTAGATTCATCCTGAGCATCAACATATTCACAATCCTTTTTGTTTTTGTAAATCTGAAACACACACGCACACGAGCAGATCCACGGATAATTAATGTCAGTTGGACTGTAAGTTGAACTTCTTTCGTACCGCACGTAGCCAACCGTGCTGATCGGAGGTGCGGGGGAAGGACAACAAACTAAACACTAAAAGCAGTTCTAAAGAAATGCATTTTCAATCTACAAGATTTTAAAGTGCTAAGCTCCCAGTGGCTTCCTAACATTGGAAGGAAGAACCTTCCAGACGGCCGCAGAAGTGCATCTGTAAGCGCCGCGCCATGCGGTGACCACCGTCTTTGCTGTGTGTTACAAGTTCAAATAATTACGTTAATTTTTGGGTCTCTCTGTGATTCTGGGGGTCTTTGGGTGAGTCTCTAGGTCTCTGTACGAGTCTATGGGTCTCTGTGCGAGTCTCTAGGGTATCTGTGCGACTCTGGGTCTCTGTGTGAGACTGTGGGTCTCTGTGCGATTCTCTTGGTCTCTGTGCGAGTCTCTGGGTCTATGTGTGAGACTGTGGATCTCTCTGTGCGATTCTCTGAGCATCTGTGTGAGTATCTGGGTCTCTCTGTGTGAGTCTCTGGGTCTCTGTGTGAGTCTGTGTGTCCCACTGTGAGTCTCTGGGTCTCTGTTCAAGTCTCTAGGTCTCTGTGCAAGTCTGTGGGTCTCTCTATGCGAGTCTCTGGGTCTCTGTGCAAAGTCTCTGGGTCTCTCTGTGCCAGTCTCTGGGTCTCTGTGTGAGTCTGTGGGTGACTGTGTGAGGCTATGGGTCTCTGTGCGAGTCTATGGGTCTCTGTGTGAATCTATGGGTCTCTGTGCGAGTCTATAGGTCTCTGTGCGAGTCTATGGGTCTCTGTGCGAGTCTATGGGTCTCTGTGTGAGTCTATGGGTTTCTGTGCGAGTCTATGGGTCTCTGTGTGAGTCTATGGGTCTCTGTGAGTCTCTGGGTCTCTCTGTGCCAGTCTCTAGATCTCTGTGTAAGTCTGTGGGTGACTGTGTGAGGCTATGGGTTTCTCTGCATCGCCTTCACGAGCCTCCTCTCCACACACACGATGATGATGTAGGAATAGGAGGAGGCTGCAGCAGTAGCAGCAGCAGCTCACCAGCCAGCAGTACTCGCTCACGGGGTTCTCCTCAGACACCTCTCCCTGGTAGGGCCCAAACATCACCCCCTTGGGCAGCTTCTTCCTGTTGCTCCACACCCCGAGGCCGGCGCCGGCGATGGAGGAGGCGCCGACGGTGAGGCCCTGGGGCAGGCTGAGCCGGGCCCTGTTGGCCACTCCCGGGGCCACGGCCGCGTCCGCGATGAACTCTGGCGGGCCGTGCACGGAGCACTCCGCCAGGTAGAAATCCCTGCACAGCTCGCAGACTGAGAGCCACAGCAGCAGCAGTGGGAGGAGGGCGAACCGCAGTAGCAACAGCAGCAGCAGCAGTGGCACTGTGAGAGAGTGAGAGGGTGAGGAGCGCTCCAGACAGATGCCTCCCTCCCTCCCTCTCTGCATTGTGAACTTCTTTAGGTCAAATTTCGATTTAAAGCTTTCGTGACTGCAGGGATTCATCTTCTTGGTTCTTTTGGTAAAGTCACGTTTTCTACGTGACTTTACCGAAAGAACCAAGAAGATTATTTAGCTCGCTCATCGGAGATGTAAACCCTGTCACCCTCCCTGCTCCCTCCCTGCATCCCTGAGTGAGGGAGCAAAAGAGAGAGAGGTAAGTGAGAGTACGAGAAAGGGAGCGTGTGAGAGGGAAGGAAAGGGGGAGAGTGTGAGAGGGAGCAGGTGGAACGTATCGAGTGAGAGCGCGGGAGCAATAGAGATAGATAGGTGAGAGTGTGATAAACTGACATTGTGAGAAAGTGACAGTGTGAGAGAGAGTGTGAGAAAGTGACAGTGTGAGAGAGAGAGTGAGATAGTGACAGTGTGAGAGAGAGTGTGAGAAAGTGACAGTGTGTGAGAGAGAGTGAGAAAGTGACGGTGTGAGAGAGAGTTTGAGAAAGTGACAGTGTGTGAGAGAGAGTGAGAAAGTGACGGTGTGAGAGAATGTGTGAGAAAGTGACAGTGTGAGTGAGAGTGTGAGAAAGTGAGAGAGAGAGTGAGAGTGTGAAAGTGACAGGTGAGAGAGAGAGTGAGAAAGTGACAGTGTGAGAGAGAGTGTGAGAAAGTGACAGTGTGAGAGAGAGAGTGAGAAAGTGAGAGAGAGTGAGAGGGAGCAGGGGGTCTCACAGAAGAAGTCGTCGTCCTGGGGCTCCTCCACCTCTGTGTAGACTTGCCTCTCGCGCGGGCGCAGGCCGTTGCGAGAGCGAGCGCTGCGCGACACCGCCACAGCCTGGGCGGAGGCCGGCGGCACGGAGGAGCCTGCAGGCAAACACGGCGAGATGTTGACTACCTCTCGTGGTCTACAGGAGGTCGTGGGTTCCATCCCGACTGTATAGTTTACAACATATTACCCTTTTTGTATTTTTAGATTGTATATTATGGCTAGTTTACATTTTATATTGTACGCTTATTCACAATTTTACATACTTTAGCCCCTTAGTATTAGTTAGACTTTGTAATTTTAGTATAGTTAGACTGTATACCACTTATTCCTACGTGTTGAATGTATGCACCTTCCGGCCATAGTAAATTCCTTGTGTGTGCAAACTTTCATGGCGAATACCTCCCCGTGGTTGCGTGGATTTTTCTCCGGGTCCTCCGGTTTTTCCCCTCGACGTTTAGAATAAACGTCACGCGTTGAGAGTATTTGGCTGCTATAAATGTCCACGTAATGATAATGATGATGATAAGTCACTTCGTTGAGCTCTCATTTGTGATAGCCAGGTCGCTTGTGAAAAACAGCTACACAGCTCAGTGCGGCTTACCCTGGTAAAATAAACATCGTTTAGTTAATAGGCTGCATCAGTACCAGCAGCAGCACTGACAGGAGCACATGTAGCAGTAGCATCAACAGCAGTGGCGACTTCCATCAGCACTAACAGAAGATTGGGGAGTTCCGGTGAGAATAGAGGGGAGCATGGAGTTCCGGTGAGAATAGAGGGGAGAGTGGAGTTCCGGTGAGAATAGAGGGGAGTGTGGAGTTTGGTGAGAATAGAGGGGAGTGTGGAGTTCCGGTGAGAATAGAGGGGAGTGTGGAGTTCGGTGAGAATAGAGGGGAGTGTGGAGTTCGGTGAGAATAGAGGGGAGTGTGGAGTTCGGTGAGAATAGAGGGGAGTGTGGAGTTCGGTGAGAATAGAGGGGAGTGTGGAGTTGGTGAGAATAGAGGGGAGTGTGGAGTTCCGGTGAGAATAGGGGAGTGTGGAGTTTGGTGAGAATAGAGGGGAGTGTGGAGTTGGTGAGAATAGAGGGGAGTGTGGAGTTGGTGAGAATAGAGGGGAGTGTGGAGTTCGGTGGAATAGAGGGGAGTGTGGAGTTCCGGTGGAGAATAGAGGGGAGTGTGGAGTTCGGTGAGAATAGAGGGGAGTGTGGAGTTTGGTGAGAATAGAGGGGAGTGTGGAGTTCCGGTGGAATAGAGGGGAGTGTGGAGTTCTGGTGAGAATAGAGGGGAGTGTGGAGTTCCGTGAGAATCGAGGGTGCGGTCCGGTGGGAATATGAGGGGAGCGTGGAGGTTCTGGTGAGAATAGAGGGGAGTGTGGAGTTCCGGTGGGAATAGAGGGGAGTGTGGATGTTACGGTGAGAATAGCAGGGGAGTGTGGAGTGTACGTGGGAATATAGGGGAGTGTTGGAGTTCCGGTGGGAATAGAGGGAGTGTGGAGTTTCCAGGTGAGAATAGAGGGGAGTGTGGAGTTCTGGTGAGAATCGAGGGAGTGTGGAGTTCCGATGAGAATAGAGGGGCTTGTGGAGTTCTGGTGAGAACTAGAGGGGAGTGTGGAGTTCTGGTGAGAATAGAGGGAGTGTGGAGTTCCGGTGAGGAATAGAGGGGAGTGTGGAGTTCTGGTTGAGAATAGGGGAGTGTGGAGTTTCCGATGAGAATAGAGGGAAGTTGTGGCAGTTCCGGTGACGAATGATGAGGGGAGTGTTGGAGTTCTGGTGAGAATAGAAGGGGTGAGTGTGGAAGTACGATGAGAATTAGAGAATAGAGGGGAGTGTGGAGTTCGGTGGAATAGAGGGGAGTGTGGAGTTCTGGTGAGAATAGAGGGAGTGTGGAGTTCGGTGAGAATAGAGGGGAGTGTGGAGTTCCGGTGGAATAGAGGGGAGTGTGGAGTTCGGTGGAATAGAGGGGAGTGTGGAGTTCCGGTGAGAATAGAGGGGAGTGTGGAGTTCGGTGGGAATAGAGGGGAGTGTGGAGTTCGGTGAGAATAGAGGGGAGTGTGGAGTTGGTGGAATAGAGGGGAGTGTGGAGTTCTGGTGAGAATAGAGGGGAGTGTGGAGTTCGGTGAGAATAGAGGGGAGTGTGGAGTTCTGGTGAGAATAGAGGGGAGTGTGGAGTTCCGGTGGAATAGAGGGGAGTGTGGAGTTGGTGAGAATAGAGGGGAGTGTGGAGTTCGGTGAGAATAGAGGGGAGTGTGGAGTTCGGTGAGAATAGAGGGGAGTGTGGAGTTCGGTGGAATAGAGGGGAGTGTGGAGTTCGGTGAGAATAGGGGAGTGTGGAGTTCGGTGAGAATAGAGGGGAGTGTGGAGTTCTGGTGAGAATAGAGGGGAGTGTGGAGTTCTGGTGAGAATAGAGGGGAGTGTGGAGTTCCGGTGGAATAGAGGGGAGTGTGGAGTTTGGTGAGAATAGAGGGGAGTGTGGAGTTCTGGTGGAATAGAGGGGAGTGTGGAGTTCCGGTGAGAATAGAGGGGAGTGTGGAGTTCTGGTGAGAATAGAGGGGAGTGTGGAGTTGGTGAGAATAGAGGGGAGTGTGGAGTTCCGGTGAGAATAGAGGGGAGTGTGGAGTTTGGTGAGAATAGAGGGGAGTGTGGAGTTCGGTGAGAATAGAGGGGAGTGTGGAGTTCCGGTGAGAATAGAGGGGAGTGTGGAGTTCCGGTGGGAATAGAGGGGAGTGTGGAGTTCGGTGAGAATAGAGGGGAGTGTGGAGTTCGGTGAGATAGAGGGGAGTGTGGAGTTCCGGTGAGATAGAGGGGAGTGTGGAGTTCCGGTGGGAATAGAGGGAGTGTGGAGTTGGTGAGAATAGAGGGGAGTGTGGAGTTCTGGGAGAATAGAGGGGAGTGTGGAGTTCCGGTGAGAATAGAGGGGAGTGTGGAGTTTGGTGGGAATAGAGGGGAGTGTGGAGTTCGGTGAGAATAGAGGGGAGTGTGGAGTTCCGGTGGAATAGAGGGGAGTGTGGAGTTCTGGTGAGAATAGAGGGGAGTGTGGAGTTCGGTGAGAATAGAGGGGAGTGTGGAGTTCGGTGAGAATAGAGGGGAGTGTGGAGTTCGGGGAATAGAGGGGAGTGGGAGTTCGGTGAGAATAGAGGGGAGTGTGGAGTTGGTGGAATAGAGGGGAGTGTGGAGTTCGGTGAGAATAGAGGGGAGTGTGGAGTTTGGTGAGAATAGAGGGGAGTGTGGAGTTCGGTGAGAATAGAGGGGAGTGTGGAGTTCGGTGGGAATAGAGGGGAGTGTGGAGTTCCGGTGGAATAGAGGGGAGTGTGGAGTTCGGTGGAGAATAGAGGGGAGTGTGGAGTTGGGTGAGAATAGAGGGGAGTGTGGATTCCGGTGAGAATAGAGGGGAGTGTGGAGTTCTGGTGAGAATAGAGGGGAGTGTGGAGTTCCGGTGAGAATAGAGGGGAGTGTGGAGTTCGGTGAGAATAGAGGGGAGTGTGGAGTTTGGGGAATAGAGGGGAGTGTGGATTCCGGTGAGAATAGAGGGGAGTGTGGAGTTTGGTGAGAATAGAGGGGAGTGTGGAGTTGGTGAGAATAGAGGGGAGTGTGGAGTTCGGTGAGAATAGAGGGAGTGTGGAGTTCGGTGAGAATAGAGGGGAGTGTGGAGTTCTGGTGAGAATAGAGGGGAGTGTGGAGTTCCGGTGAGAATAGAGGGGAGTGTGGAGTTCGGTGAGAATAGAGGGGAGTGTGGAGTTCCGGGGAATAGAGGGGAGTGTGGAGTTCCGGTGGGAATAGGGGGAGTGTGGAGTTCGGTGGAATAGAGGGGAGTGTGGAGTTCCGGTGAGAATAGAGGGGAGTGTGGAGTTCGGTGGGAATAGAGGGGAGTGTGGAGTTCGGTGAGAGGGGAGTGTGGAGTTCGGTGAGAATAGAGGGGAGTGTGGAGTTCTGGTGAGAATAGAGGGGAGTGTGGAGTTCGGTGAGAATAGAGGGGAGTGTGGAGTTCCGGTGAGAATAGAGGGGAGTGTGGAGTTCGGTGAGAATAGAGGGGAGTGTGGAGTTCCGGTGAGAATAGAGGGGAGTGTGGAGTTCCGGTGGAATAGAGGGGAGTGTGGAGTTCTGGTGAGAATAGAGGGGAGTGTGGAGTTCGGTGGAATAGAGGGGAGTGTGGAGTTCGGTGGAGAATAGAGGGGAGTGGGAGTTCGGTGAGAATAGAGGGGAGTGTGGAGTTCGGTGGGAATAGAGGGGAGTGTGGAGTTCGGTGAGAATAGAGGGGAGTGTGGAGTTCGGTGGGAATAGAGGGGAGTGTGGAGTTCCGGTGGAATAGAGGGGAGTGTGAGTTATCCGGTGGGAATAGAGGGGAGTGTGGAAGTTCGGTGAGAATAGAGGGGAGTGTGGAGTTCTGGTGAGAATAGAGGGAGTGTGGAGTTCGGTGGGAATAGAGGGGAGTGTGGAGTTCCGGTGAGAATAGAGGGGAGTGTGGAGTTCCGGTGGGAATAGAGGGGAGTGGGAGTTCCGGTGAGAATAGAGGGGAGTGTGGAGTTCTGGTGGGAGAGAGGGGAGTGTGGAGTTCCTGGTGGAATAAAGGGGATTGTTGAGTTCCGATGGAATAGAGGGGCGTTGCTGGAGTTCCGGTGGGAATAGAGGGGAGTGTGGAGTTCCGGTGGAATAGAGGGGAGTGTGGAGTTCTGGTGGAGAATAGAGGGCGTGGAGTGTGGAGTTCTGGTGGGAATAGAGGGGAGTGTGGAGTTCCGGTGAGAATAGAGGGGAGCGTGGAGTTCCAGGTGGAATAGAGGGAGTGTGGTGGAGTTCCGGTGAGAATAGAGGGGAGCGTGGAGTTCTGGTGGGAATAGAGGAGAGTGTGGAGTTCCGGGTGAGAATAGAGGGGAGTGTGGAGTTCTGGTGGAATAGAGGGAGTGTGGGAGTTCTGGTGAGAATAGAGGGGAGTGTGGATGTTCGGTGAGATAGAGGGGAGTGTGGAGTCTCGGTGAGAATAGAGGGGAGTGGAGTGTGGAGTTCTGGTGGGAAGAGAGGGGGAGTGTGGAGTTCCGGTGGGAATAAAGGGGATTGTGGAGTTCCGATGGGAATAGAGGGGAGTGTGGAGTTCCGGTGGGAATGAGGGGAGTGTGGAGTTCCGTGGGGAATAGAGGGGAGTGTGGAGTTCTGGTGAGAATAGAGGGGAGTGTGGAGTTTGGTGGGAATAGAGGGGAGTGTGGAGTTCCGGTGAGAATAGAGGGGAGCGTGGAGTTCCAGTGGGAATAGAGGGGAGTGTGGAGTTCGGTGAGAATAGAGGGGAGCGTGGAGTTCTGGTGGGAATAGAGGAGAGTGTGGAGTTCGGTGAGAATAGAGGGGAGGGTGGAGTTCTGGTGGGAATAGAGGGGAGTGTGGAGTTCTGGTGGAATTAGAGGGGAGTGTGGAGTTCTGGTGGGAATAGAGGGGAGTGTGGAGTTCTGGTGAGAATAGAGGAGGAGTGTGGAGTTCCGGTGAGAATAGAGGGGAGCGTGGAGTTCCAGTGAGAATAGAGGGGAGCGTGGAGTTGCGATTGTGAATATAAATCACCGCTGCAGGCTACGCACCTCCATGTATCCTCTGGAGCGCCACCCTCAGGGCCTCTTTGCAGGCGGTAGCTCTGCGCTCCAGCATGAACATCGCCATCCTGGCCTTGTGCACCCTCCCTCAGCTCAAATCCCCTGGACTCCTCCTCCTGCTGCTGCTGCTCCTCCTCCACGCCCTGCAAGATGCTCCACACGTACTCCAGGGCTTCCGGCCTTTAGTCTGAGCGGAGGGTGGTGGGGTGAGGGGGGCAAAGTTTGTGCCGGTGACCAGCGGTGGTAGGAGATGTTAACTCCCTCGCCTGGTACGTAGGAAGTCGCGGGTTCGATCTCGACCCTGACACCTCATCGGATTCCTCTAGTACAGTATACAGTAAGGGAAAAAAGTATTGATCCCCTGCTGATTTTGTACGTTTGCCCACTGACAAAGAAGTGATCAGTCTATAATTTGAACGGTAGGTTTATTTGAACAGTGAGAGACAGAATAACAACAACAAAATCCAAAAAAACGCATGTCAAAATGTTATCAAGTGAATTGCATTTTAATGAGGGAAATACGTATTTGACCCCCTCTCAATCATAAAGATTTCTGGCTCCCAGGTGTCTTTTATACAGGTAACGAGCTGAGATTAGGAGCACACTCTTAAAGGGAGTGCTCCTAATCTCAGCTTGTACCTGTATAAAAGACACCTGTTCACAGAAACAATCAATTAGATTCCAAACTCTCCACCATGGCCAAGACCAAAGAGCTCTCCAAGGATGTCAGGGACAAGATTGTAGACCTACACAAGACTGGAATGGGCTACAAGGCCATTGCCAAGCAGCTTGGTGAGAACGTGACAACAATTGGTGTGATTATTCGCAAATGGAAGAAACACAAAAGAACTGTCATACTCCCTCGGCCTGGGGCTCCATGCAAGATGTCACCTCGTGGAGTTGCAATGATCATGAGAACGGTGAGGAATCAGCCCAGAACTACACGGGAGGATCTTGTCAATGATCTCAAGGCAGCTGGGACCATAGTCACCAAGAAAACAGTTGGTAACACACTACGCTGTGAAGGACTGAAATCCTGTAGCGCCCGCAAGGTCCCCCTGCTCAAGAAAGCACATATACATGCCCGTCTGAAGTTTGCCAATGAACATCTGAATGATTCAGAGGACAACTGGGTGAAAGTGTTGTGGTCAGATGAGACCAAAATGGAGCTCTTTGGCATCAACTCAACTCGCCCTGTTTGGAGGAGGAGGAATGCTGCCTATGACCCCAAGAACACCATCCCCACCGTCAAACATGGAGGTGGAAACATTATGCTTTGGGGTTGTTTTTCTGATAAGGGGACAGGACAACTTCACCGCATCAAAGGGACGATGGACGGGGCCATGTACCGTCAAATCTTGGGTGAGAACCTCCTTCCCTCAGCCAGCGCATTGAAAATGGGTCGTGGATGGGTATTCTAGCATGACAATGACCCAAAACACACAGCCAAGGCAACAAGGAGTGGCTCAAGAAGAAGCACATTAAGGTCCTGGAGTGGCCTAGCCAGTCTCCAGACCTTAATCCCATAGAAAATCTATGGAGGGAGCTGAAGGTTCGAGTTGCCAAACGTCAGCCTCGAAACCTTAATGACTTGGAGAAGATCTGCAAAGAGGAGTGGGACAAAATCCCTCCTGAGATGTGTGCAAACCTGGTGGCCAACTACAAGAAACGTCTGACCTCTGTGATTGCCAACAAGGGTTTTGCCACCAAGTACTGTCATGTTTTGCAGAGGGGTCAAATACTTATTTCCCTCATTAAAATGCAAATCAATTTATAAAAAAATTTACATGCGTTTTTCTGGATTTTGTTGTTGTTATTCTGTCTCTCACTGTTCAAATAAACCTACCATTAAAATTATACACTGATCATTTATTTGTCAGGTGGGCAAACGTACAAAATCAGCAGGAGATCAAATACTTTTTTCCCTCACTGTATGTATGTTGAATTTCTTTGTAACCGTACGTAGCCAACCTCGCTAATGGGAGGTGCGGCGGAAGGACAACAAACTAAAGACAACAGCAGCAGCAGCAGCTGTAACGAGAGGAGTGCCGTGCGCTGTGCACAGAGACCTTGCGCTTGCTGGGAGCTGCCCTCGCGTGCGACTCTCCCACGGTGGCCCAGCGTGAAGCAGCCCCTTGCCTCCTCCTGCGTGAGCACACGCACACACGTGAACACATGCACACACGTGATCACACGTGAACACACGTGAACACACGCACGCACGCAGCCGAAACGTCGTGAGAATTATTTTATTTTATTATGTTTTATTTTTATGATTTTATTACTTCCCTTCTATGTGACTTTACCGAAAGAACCAAGAAGATGAAACCCAGCAGTCACGAAAGCTTTAAATCGAAATTTAACCGCCTCTACGGGGAGGGTTTCCACATAACTTTGAGATCCTTCAACAAGCTCCGTGATAAGAAGGCTCAGCTAATCGAGTCTCTCACCTTTCTGAAGAGATGCCGCGACCTCTAAGGTAATACCAAACGCATTTACACTAACATCTGCTGCTGTAACTTCTTCTAATGCGAAACGAATTATATATAAGCTCCTAGCTTGGCAGTGTCTCATTCTTCACCTGAAGACGGCTGCTTGCGTTGTAGCCGAAACGTCGTGAGAATTATTTTATTTTATTATGTTTTATTTTATTATTTTATTACTTCCCTTCTACGTGACTTTACCGAAAGAACCAAGAAGATGAATCCCTGCAGTCACGAAAGCTTTAAATCGAAATCTACAGGGGGTCTCCGTGCGAGTCTACAGGGGGTCTCTGCGTGAGTCTACAGGGGGTCTCTGCGTGAGTCTACAGGGGGTCTCTGTGCGAGTCTACAGGGGTTTCTGTGTGAGTCTACAGGGGGTCTCTGCGTGAGTCTACAGGGTGTCTCTGAGTGAGTCTACAGGGGTCTCTGTGTGAGTCTACAGAGGGTCTCTGCGTGAATCTACAGAGGGTCTCTGCGTCAGTCTCCAGGGGTTGTCTGTGTGAGTCTACAGGGGTCTCTGCGTGAGTCTACAGGGGGTCTCTGTGTGAGTCTACAGGGGGTCTCTGTGTGAGTCTACAGGGGGTCTCTGCACGGTCTGCAAGCGCCCTTTTACGTTTGCCTCCACCTCTTCGTCCTCCGTGCATCGCCACCTCCTTCCTCTTCCTCCTCCCCGTCCACTCCTCGTCGGAGTCGCTCGACCGCCCGCACTCCGCTCCATTCCCCCTCACCCTGCGCTTGCCACGTGCGCGCATGAACTCGGGCTGGGCCGGGTTCATCCCTGCGCAAGAAGGCAGTCGGTCATTGTTATTTGTACGTATTGGCGGTACACCGGTGCAGCATAGCAACACACCGGGTCCTCGTAACACAGTCCTGACGATGTGATTATTATCAGAGCGTGTTTGTTTGCGTGATCACCACAAGTACGCGTGGTTAATGCAGTAACTTGATTCCTTGCAAAAGGAATAATCTATCTGGTGTTTGAACATATTATCGCCTCCTGTTTTATTGCCAGAAAGGGTAAAACCGATTCTTATTTTTCATACTTTGATTCTGGCAAAAAGGTCCCATGATATAGCTGCTCACCCCGAGCTATAGATGCTCTTGACACTGCATTGTCTTTGTACCGGTCGCCTTTTGGTGTTGTTCTCTGGTCTGACACTGGTGAGACTAGGCCATGAAGAAGGCTGTCTCTGGGGTAGACCAATCAGTTTCAAAGACAATGATTAAATATTATCAAATACGTTAAACGCGTGATGTTGATTCTACATGTGGAGCGAAAACCCGGAGGACCAGGAGAAAAACCATCGCGACCACGGGGAGAGTGAACATGCAAACTCCAAATACACAGCAGGCGTCAGGGTCAGGATCGAACACACGACCTCCTGTAGACCAGGAAAGGGAATTCACATCTCACCGGGGAGAGACACACGCAGACTCCAGATATATGACAGGCTTCGTCAGCGTCGGCATCGAAACCACGACCTCCTGTAGACTAGGCGAGGTAGTTAACATCTCACCCGGGAGAGACACACGCAGACTCCAGATATATGACAGGCATCGTCAGGGTCTCCATCGAACCCACGACCTCCTGTAGACCATGAGAGGGAGTTAACATCTCGCCACCATGGCGGTCCATGCATGCCACGCTGCTACGACGTTTTGGTCTCATCATTATAATTACTAACACGGTAGAACGAACACCTCAGCCGTGGCAGACCATTGTTATAATTCAGTGGGCTCACATGACCTTGACTTCTCCAAGACAGAGGTTCTCTGCAAGCCATCCGGCTACTATGAGAGATTCGTTCATGAGGCCATCCACATATACAAACACAGAGACAATTTCAACTGAGAAGATGGACTCTGGCTCAGCAATCATTGGAAGGACGTAACTAACCATTTCGGATCTTAACTGATTGTGTTCACGTTTTCTCCTCCCGAAATGGAGTCTTTGCTCCGCTGCAAGTCTCCTGCTACCACTCTCCATTGATATATTTCGTTGCTTCCTCTTCGTACCTTTCACGCGACGGTCAATGAGATGGTGTATAGCAGATTGTTATAATAATAAATAGTATAACAGTGTAATGTCTAATATAATGTATAAGTATATATAGTATCGTAATTGTATAGTGAATATACAGCAGTGTGGTATACAGTAGGGTGTGTAGAATAATACATAGTCTAATTACAAATGCATAGTATAAGGTAGTGTATAGTAACGCAGTGTATAATTCAATGTTGGGTTGGTCTATGGCAGTGTTATAGTACGGGGTCATATGCGTGGTGATGTAAGAAAAAAGTTTAGCTGGAGGCATATTATTTGTTTTTGCGACATAGAAGTGTAATGTATAACTTACTGTTAGTACCTCAGCTTATTGGAGAGTATATTGAGTATATTGATTACATTGATGTATTTTATATTTTAGTTTTTTATCGGTTCACTATATGATAGTCATTATATAGTGTAGCGTATACCCAGTTACTTAATGGTTAATAGCTCAGCTTATTGGAGAGTATATTGAGCACATTGATTACACTGGTCAACAAAAAAAAAAGATTTCTGGCCTGGACTTTTGCAGCTGTTTTAGACTAGTTTCAGGGTGCCGATTCCACAATCTGATCTCAGATTTGCTCTATCACATCATTTTTAAATCCTTTATATTAAGTTCGCGTGCTTGCGTGCTTGCTTGCTTAGGACGTGCAAATCTTTCGGTCGTTTTTTAACCCACTTCCCGTGATCCATCGAGCGACATTTTCCACACAGACTCGTGTGCCAGACAATTATTGTTCGTGAAAAAAAATTCCCAAAATGTTACACTTTTTAGGCAAAAAAAAAAATATTTTACATATATTCAGATAGAACTAATTCATGGCTTTGGCTGAACGTCAGAGTGTAAGAGCCAAGAGCGTAACCCCTCCACAGGCCGTGGCGGAGTAGCGCAGTTGGTAGCGCCCTCGCTTCCCATGCAAAGGTCGCGGGATCGATCCCCGCGTCCTCCACAGGCGAATATATTTTTAATCCTTTATATTAAGTTAGCTGCCACGCATATAAAGGATTTATAGTGAAAAACTTTGTTTTTACGGGTTATACTTATATGCTATCGGCATACTCCATTTTCATTGATTTTACCCGAAATTTACTCTGTCACTTATGATTGCAAGGTTGTTGCGAGTCAGTGACTGCTTAGTGTTAAAATATGGTGCTGTATTTTTAGGATAGTGTGTTTATGATATCATTTTATGTAGATATCCACATTTATTTAATATTTTTCTTCTGCAGTTTTCATTGAAAATGCAATATTTCATAATTCTCAAAACTGATGTGATAGACAAAAACTGATGCCAGATTTGGAGTTCAGAACCCCAAATACCTTAAACCCCTTGGAATACCTTAGTCCAGAAAAAGTGTGTTGACCAGTGTTATATTGATAACACTGCTAAATTCCTCTTGATATGTAAATGCCTTTGTCAAGGCGCCCTCCTCCTCTAACCCAGCTTAAATATACGCTGCCAAGCTTGGCGGTGTCATTGGGACGCTGTCTTTTCCGACGCTCTGTTTCTTCACCTGAGGACGGCTGCTTGTGTTGTAGCCGAAACGCAGTGATAATTATTTATTATGTTTTATTTTATTAGTCATGTAGAAGGGAAATAATAATCAAAATAAAAACAAAAAATACAATTATTATGTTTTATTCAATAATAAAATCTAAAAATAAAACATAAAATAAAATTATTCTGTTATTTTTTATTATTTTTACTTCCTTCTACGTGACTTACGAGAAGAACCAAGAAGATTTCGATTTAAAGCTTTCGTGACTGCAGGGATTCATCTTCTTGGTTCTTTCGGTTAAAGTCACGTCGAATAATAAAATAATAAAATAAAACTAATAAAATAATTGTATTATGTTTTATTTTTTTATTATTTATTATTCCATTCTACGTGACTTTACCGAAAGAACCAAGAAGATGAACAAGAAGATGACTTAGTTTAGTTGCGAAGAGGCTCGGCCTGCCGTACCTCACCGAGGTTCAGCAGGACGGCGTGGTTCTGCTTGATGTTCCTGTAGCGCCGCCTTCTCGCACTCGGCCAGATCGCTCCACTCGGCCTTGGTGAAGAAGCCTCTGATGTCTCGGAAGTCGCCCATCTCCTGCTGCTGCTGCTGAGGCGCAGAGACACGGAGGGACGAGACGCGGACGACGGTCAGACGCAGTCACGGAGATGGAGTCACATGGAGACAGAGTCACAGGGATACGAGACTAAGATCCCCCGTGTGGCCTTAACAGACTGTCGGGTCAAGCGCTGTGAGCGAGCGGCGCCTATGAAGCCGGAACGAACACAACGAGGGGGGTGGTGGGCCAGCACCACGCCCGGCCGCCTTTGTCTCCCAGTGGCGATGGTTCACTACACACCGCTACCCAGGAACTCATTTGAGGCTGAGTCGACCTAGGGGAAGAGGCCCAAGGACCGGTCCAGCGACTCCAGTTCCATTCCCGCTCACGGCCACCACCAACAGCGGTGACGATCATCTGAACCGGTCGTGGACCCTCATCCCCTAGGTCGACTCAGCCCTCAAATGAGCACCCGGTGTAACGGTGTGTGAACATCGCCACTGGGGAGACAAAGGCGGCCGGGCGTGGTGCTGGCCACCCACCCCTCGTGTGCCACAGCGCCGGTAGCCTTAGTAGGTGCTGCTCCGCTAACAGCCTGTTAGAGGCTACACGGGGGATCTTTGTCTTTGTGGTAAAGTGTGTGAACTCCCACTCTACCATGACGTACTAGCTCCAGCTTTACCTCCACCTGAGGTAACCTCAGGTTACCTAAGATAGAGGTACCTTTACCTCAGATGAGGTAACATTACCTCAGGTGAGGTAACTTTACCTAGGTAGAGGTAAAGTTTACTCTATCCGAGGTAAAGTAACATTACCTCAGGTGAAGTAACTTTACCTCATGTGAGGGTAACATAACTCAGGTAAATGTAACATTTGAGGTAAACCGAACGCTTTCACATCACTTCAGCTAATGCCCATATTGTAATATTCTCACGTAGTTAAATCATTAAACACAATTATCGCGTGATTATTACCTCAGGTAAGGTAATCGGAATGCAATGGAAGGTGAGGTAACTTTACCTCAGGCGACGTAACTTTACCTCGCGGGAGGTAACATCGCCTCAGGTAAATGTAACATTACTTGAGGTAATCCGAACGTATTCACATCACTTCAGCTAATGCTCATATCTTACGCTAATATCGTAATATCGTCACGTGGTTAAATCGTTTAAACACAACGCTCGCGTGACGTCACCACCTCAGTGTCGAGCCGTCGACACTTCACGCGGCAGCCTCGAAGTGCACCCAGCCTGGCACAGGCGCCGTGGTGACGTCACCGTCACTCAGTGGCCAATGGCGGCGGTTGGTGGTGGGGGGGGAGTGGGGGGGGGTGGGAGGTGGGGGGGAGGAGGGGAGTGGGGAGTGGGGGGGCGAGACGCGTGACGTCACCACGCAGTGACGTCATCAGTTTTAAGAGTTTAAATTTTTATTCTGGAAGAATCCGATGAGCTGTGAAGCTCTTTGTCCAGTAGGGGCACGTGGTCAGAACGCCACAACAACAAACACAACACAATAAACACCGTAGCAGTGCAGAGTATAGGAAAGGTAGGCACATGACCAAAACACATCTTTAGGGGCGTGTGAATTGAAGTCTGTAGGGGCGTGTGAATTGAAGTCTGTAGGGGCGTGTGAATTGAAGTCTGTAGGACAGTGTGATGTGTAATTT